TTTTTCCCCGCTGATTTGTGGTTACCTTAAATTATAATACTTCAGAATAATGTGGGCAAACATGAATACCTTGGAGAGTACACTGGTGAACTAATATCACACCGTGAAGCTGATAAACGTGGCAAGATCTATGACCGGGAGAATTCTTCGTTTCTCTTTAACTTAAATGACCAGGTATGATATGCTACATTTTGGATATTGTTGAAATATTACTTTTTACATCAGAAAACATTCCATAATCCCCTTCTCTGGAAAAATGGAAAATAAAAGAAAACCATAAATGAGGCTTTTTCCCTGTTCGCAGTTTGTTCTAGATGCTTATCGGAAGGGTGATAAATTGAAGTTTGCCAACCATGCTCCCGATCCTAACTGTTATGCTAAGGTAACTAGCTAATACAATTATATAGAATGAACCTAATGCTTAATATTACTTAAAAAATATTATTTTTCTTCTTCTGCTTAATATTGTCCAATGTTGCCTTATTAATCTTACTAGACATGCTCTGAAAGAAGCGGATTCTTTCGTTAAAATTTCTAGAAGTATGGGATTCTTCATTTTTTCTGTATTCGCCAATTCAGGTCTCATTCATTCGGTTTTTCTCTTGGTAGGTCATTATGGTGGCCGGAGATCACAGGGTGGGTATATTTGCAAAAGAACGAATTTGTTCGGGCGAAGAACTCTTTTATGATTATCGTTACGAGCCGGATAGAGCTCCTGCTTGGGCAAAAAAACCTGAGACATCTGGTGCTAAAAGAGAAGATTGCGCTCCTTCTAATGGTCGTGCGAAGAAGCACACCTGATCAATCGGTAATTTATTTCATCAAGATTTCATTTTGTCATTCTTTTCCAGAGAAACGTCATCCCTCATTCGCCTTCTGGCTGAACTAATCATTTAGTTGCTGGAGATACCGTCAATAGACCATCTCCAGAGTAGCTTAACTAGATTTTTTTGACTGTGGCTGAGTGAATTCACCAGAGCGGGAAAGAATACAAGTGTAGTTTATGCCTCCATTTCTTCAATTAAAATTTTAATGTAAAATGGTCTCTCATTGAACATTCTTTTACTGAATCTTGTAGGAAAATGTATTTACTTTCACTTGGAACTTTTGCAGTAACTCAATTCTTAATTTATGGAACCCACAATTGCTTATTCTGGTTTATGTTTGCATTTTTTCTTGAATAATGCTCTTTTACACTAGTTTGGGTGGTCATATTTGATATGTTCAATTAAATGAATCATGTGGTAATGTTTTTAAGCGAATCTATTATTTAATGTTATGCAATTATCACTTAGATTGGTGCTTGATATCAGTGGTAATGAATGCATTCCTTTTTTTTTTTTTTTCCTCTAAAATGAATAGCATCTTCCTCGACAACCCGCCTCATTTGTGTATTTAATACTTCTTTCTCACGGGATTTCCCGACCGACTTGAAAATGTTATTTCAGTTGTTAAATTAGCATGCAACTCTCGTGATGTCTCCGAGTTGGGTAAAAATGCTTGAACTCATTTTTCGTTTTGTAAGAACCTGTCGTTTGTAAATCACTACTTTATTTTTTGGCTTGAGAATCCGCACGATTCATTGGAGGGACATTACATTGGACATTTTAACCCTTTTTGGGGGGACATGACGTGTTATGTCTTATTTAACGGCCAAACTAATTTATTCCAGTCAGTTATGGAGTTTAGTTATTGATAAGTGTATTTTATACACTTATTTGAGGCCCTAAAATGGTAATGTTTGATAGTTCTTCTGACAAATTCTATGAATGAAAAAGGAATTGAAGGAAAGAAGTAAAATTGGCGAAAAATGGCAAAATCAAAAAATAAATGGGCTACAAGAATGGGACTCGAGGATTGATTTTCATTATCTTAAAAGACTAAGGACTTGAAGGATAGTAAAGCATTAATGGCTTGAATTGGGGACCTTTCTATTTGTAATTGGTGGTTGAGTAGGACTCTTTTTACCCACAAAGACAGGTTGCATGAAAATTTTAGAGGAAGAATTCATATACATAAAAAAAAAATAACTACCCTGCAGTGGTAGAGATATATATTAAAACACACGCATGGAGTTTTTCAGCCGGCTGCTCGCATTATAATATATATACAAAGGAACACACGTTGGGCAAAAAAAAAGAAAAAAAAAACAGAATATGTACACACACGCTGACAATTGAAGAAGAAATCAAATGAGCTGTCTGTTGGAAATTAAAAGGGAGATTACTGGAGTGTACATATGTACACGGCGAGAGGCAGAAAATAGGAAATTGAGGGGTCATCCATTTACAATTCGGCGGGTGAAAACGACAGCTTTAATTGTGAAATTCATCACGTTTTGTCGATTTTTGGTGATATCTTTCCACTTTCGTTCGTTTAATTTCGATATTATGCGTGGCTAGGTTTTTATATTGCTAGGATGTGATGAACCCTTATTATGAATTTTTTGTTTGAATAATTAGATTTGCGTTAAATTTGATTGAATTCTTGGATGTTTATTATTGTTTTTCATGTTTTTCAATTAATTGGTCACAAGTTGAATTGTTTGTGAATTTTGTTGTTATCAAGAGAGACAATAGGATCATTAGCACAAAATAATAAATATTGTGAGGTTCGATAGAGGATAGAGATATACCTCTATACTTCACATGATTTTTATAAGATATTCTAGCTCGTTTAATTCATTTATCATGTCCGCATCTTTCATCGAGAGATAGGAAGGTCACATGAGAGAAAGAGATTTGATAGTTATTGAGAGAGGTTTTCAATTAAAATAGGAATATTAAACAACAAGCATGATTTCAAATTATCAATTTAAATTGTTAAACTAAAAATTGAATAGTAAGGGGGATTCTACATCTTAGCAATGCATCTTTCAAATTTGATAAATTTTTACATTGCTTTTAAGTTAGTTGATAGATTTATTAGTGTTTAGTTATAACTCGATTTCTTAACCCAATCAAACACATAGTACTCGTGAGTTCGATACTGTATACATCACCTTATTACTTGTTCACGATCCCGTCCACTTGTGAGAAATCAAACGACCAAGTTTTTAGTGCTGTTGTCGGGGACTATAGTTTTTGATAAGTTTTAACTAATTTTACTTTTAATCTGAATTTTATTTTATTTTTTTAGTTAGTTCATTAATTTAGAAAATTTTTACAGTATTACTTGCTTTCTTTTTCAAGATGTATGCAAAGTTCGAAAACCGGTGATCTTGCTTAATTTGAACCAGAAATCTAACGACATTCAACTTTCGAAGAAGACAACAATAGGAAACACACCAAAAATAGAAAGAGGAAGACATGGCAAACGAAGATCCAAATCAACTAGCCATCAGGGCTAATATGGGAGTGGCACAACCGAATATAGCTGCATCCAATGAAAATACAAGGATCATGGGAGAGTACAAGGTTCCACCGGTAGTGGAAATCTAGTCCAATATCGTATATCCAATGTTTGGTCAGGCAAATTTCCACCTGAGGACGAATGGTATCAACATGTTTCAAAATGTGCTACAATTCTTTGGGAGAGATACAGAGAATCCCAATGCTCATATATCAAGATTTTTGGACATGTGTGCTACAATTGAGTATCCGAAAGTTTCTAGTGAAGCAATCAGATTGCGGCTCTTCCCATACACATTGAGGGAGTCGACAAGGAAATGGCTAGACACTTGTTCACCACAGAGCATGACAACATGGAACCAATTGAGTCAGAAATTTCTTGGCAAATATTTCTCGCCAAAAAAGATTGTAAAGTTAAGGGACGAGATCACTACTTTTCAACAAATGGTCTCAGAATGCTATTCAAAGACTTGGGAACGATATAAAAGTTTACTTTGCCCATACCCACAACATGAATTATAGAAGTAGTTTCAAGTGCAATACTTCTACATTGGTTTGAACCCGATTAACAAGGCTAACATAGACTCTAGGTGCGATGATTCTATTATAAAAAGAACCACGGACCAAGTCTACCAAATCATGGAGGATTTGACATTTGCCAGTACACTTTGGCCTACTGAAAGAACAAGTGGAAAGAAAGTTGCTAGGGTATTCAAAGTGGATTCTTTAATAGCAATTTCAGCACAATTGACATCATTGACATAGAAGGTAGATCAGATAAGCGTAGCCCAGATAGTGGGACCGAAATGCAAACATTGTGGAGGGAGCCACGAGAGTGTTGACTGTAATATAGGATCCCATTTTGCTCAGATAGTAGAAGATGTTAACTACACTCTGAATTTTCAAAGGCAACAACACAATCCAAATCCTAACACATTACCTAGGCTCGAGAAATCACCCAGGCTTTCAATGAAGTAATAATCGGGGAGCTCAGACCTCGCCACAATAGACTGTACCACTGGGATTTTAGCAAAATGAGAAGAACTCTTCACTAGAAGATGTTGTGACCAAGTTAGCAGAACTATCTCAACACATACAAAGAACGGATAAGAGCTTGCAAGTTCAGGGTACTGCCATAAAAAGTTTAAAGAATCAAATGGAACAAATAGTCAAGGCACTTTCAGAGAGACTACAAGGAACAATGCCTAACGACACTGAAACAAATCCTAAGAAGCACTACAAGGCTAAAACTACTCGCAGTGGAGTACAACTACTTGAAATAAATGTGAAAAGGTTAGTTGCTACACAAGAGAAGGTATCTACCACAATTGAGGGGTATTTGGAGGAATCTGTACCAAACAATTAACAAGAAGTACCAGAGGATCCAAAGGTTAAGTTAACCACTCCTGCCAAAGAAATGACTCAAACATTCCCATTCCCACGTATGCTACAGAAGCATAAACTGGACAGGCAGTTCTCAAAGTTTCTTAAGGTATTCAAAAAGCTGCAGATCAACATACCATTTGTGGATGCACTTGCACAAATGCCTAGCGATGCGAAATTTATGAAAGAAATACTCACAAACAAGAAGAAGTTGGAGGATTTGGGGACAGTGATGCTGAATATAGTGCCATCTTGCTAAATAAGTTGCCACCTAAACTAAAGAACCCAGGGAATTTTACTATCCCTTGCACTATTGGTAACATGAAATTTGATAAGATTCTCTTTGATTTAGGTGCTAGCATTAACTTCGTGCCTTATTCTATTTTCAAGAAATTAAACTTAGGAGAGGCAAAGGCAACATCGATCTCGTTGCAGTTGGCAGACAGGTCCGTAAAATTTTCTAGGGGAATTATTGAAGATGAAGGTCGATAAATTTATCTATCATGCAGATTTCGTCATTCTGGACATGGGTGGAGAGGATAAAGACATGTCATTGATATTGAGAAGACCGTTCCTTGCAACATGTCGAGCTTTAATAGATGTTCAGAAAGGATAATTGATGTTGCAATTAAATGATGAGTAGGTGACATTCAATGTTTTTAGTGCTATCAACTATCTTATAGAATCAAATAGCTGTCTGCTCATTGACATGGTGGATTTGACTGTGGAAGAGACTTTCATTCTTGAGCATCCTCAATATCACTTGGAGAATCTTCTTGTGCACTCATGAGATAAAATATCAACAATTAAAGAGATAAGTCAGATGCTTACGTTATGGAATCTACTCTACCCCATCAAGAGAAGACAATTTGAGGAACTTGGTTTAGGACCTAGTAAACCACTACCTTCTGTTTAGAGAGCACCAATTCTCGAGCTCAAGCAATTGCCATCACATCTGAGGTATGCGTATTAAAGAGAGTCATCTACACTCCCTATGATTATTGTAAACGAGATGATCGAGTTAGAAGAGTAGAGATTACTAAAGGTTTTGTGGGAACATAAAACAACCATTGGGTAGTCTGTAGTAGATATCAGAGGAATCAGTCTATCGATATGCATGCACAAAATCTTGATGGAAGAAGAGTATAAGCCAGCAGTGAAAAATCAGTGCAGATTGAACCCCACCATGAAGGACGTTGTGCGAGCAGAGGTATTGAAACTCCTTAATGCAGGCATCATCTATCCGATCTCTAATTGCAAGTGGGTTAGTCCGATCCATATTATTCCAAAGAAATGAGGTATTATAATGGTAAAGAATGAGAATAACGAGCTGATACTGACAAGACCAGTCACGAGATGGAGAATATGCATAGACTATAGGAAACTGAACAATGCAACTAGAAAATATCATTTTGCCTTACCCTTTAT